TAGAACTCAGGGTACATTTTACTGCATCTGCCAGATTCTTCACAAAGAACACAATAAAGGGTACAGATGAGCAAACAGACGAAGGGACACACAGGGTGAGGCCTGGAAGGTCCCAAGGGCAGGCATCAGTGTGGATCCCTTCACCAGCACTCAGATGTGTTCACCAACCCAAAGCTAGTGCTTTTGAATTTTTGTGGAGTTTCATTGCCTAGGTGTGTGATGACATCACTGGCCCCCGGTACCAACTCAGCCTTCTGCTGATCCCTTCCTTGGAAGTTGGGGGATGAGACCAAAAGTGGAAAGTTCACCCGGTTGGTCCTAAGCAGCCCTGTTCCTACCCAAGAGTTACAACATTCAAACAAAAGATGCTCCCATCACCCAGAAAATGGCGAAGGTCTGTGAGCTCTGTGCCAGGAACCTGGGCCAAAGATCAAATGTCAGAATAAAAAATTCCCCTAACAATCCCATCAGAGATGCTCATGTGCATACACATGCACACACGCATGGGCATGTACATATGTGTATGTGTATGTGTGTGTGTGGGGGGGTGCTAGGACTCAAGCCTAGGGCTTCAAGCATGCGAGACAGATGTCCCACTTTCCACCCTCTACCAGAAGTTTAGCAGCTGTGTCAGGAACTGTGGTTGGAGATCTCATATATTTTTATTACATTACAGTTTTATAATCAATCAAACCCGGTCTGGAAGTTATTCTTGATTCTCTATACGGTATGGATCGAAGCTTAGAACACAAAATCTTGTCCTTGAAGCGCCATCCCACATTCATGTCCTCCTGCCGAACTCAGGGCTTCCCACTGGGGGTAGCAGGGAGAGACACAGCTGTATCCCCAGGCTTCAGGTTCAGGGTCCCCGAGATACTGTCTGGATTCCTCCTGCCCTGTCCCCAGTGGCTGAGCAGCTGTGTGCAGTGGCTGTGGGCTGACATGTTTGGCAGCTTTGCTCCCAGACCCTGGCATGGTGCCATGGGAAGATCACACACTTCCTATGTGTCCTTTCTCCCCCTCCTTTTGTCTGCCTCTTGCTATTTAAGGGCTCTGACCTGTTCGGTGATCCCATCTCATGAACACACATATGTCACTGAGACATCATGCTAGTTAGCAAGCCCCTCCCTTCTGGATGGAAATGTCAAAGACATCTTCCCAGTGGTGCTTGTTTTTGAAATGGACCCAGGCATTTCTCCTAACGGATGGTCAGGTTGTTCTAAGAATCCTGTCCACTGAGGCAGGAGGGGAATGGGACAGAGAGCTTTCCCTGGAGAGCTGGGAGTCTGTGTGTTGCTGCTGTGATGATCTGATCTCCTGGGTCTCAGCTTCTTCATTCGGAAAGGAAGATGAGTGGTACCCACTTCACGGGGTAGTTGTGAGGGCCACATGGCAAACGCTGGCTCACAGCAGATCCTCAGAACTTGAGATTCTTTCTTTCCCATCTTTCTTTTCAAAGGATCTCTGTTGGATCTGCATGTCTCACTGCTGCAGGAGAGACTCCTGCCTCGGTTGGGTGGGACTAGGCTGTCTCCAGAGTCTCCTGATTCTGCAGTTCTCCAATTCAGATGTTTGGCTTGCCAGGGTCTCCCCCTGTTTAAACATTAGAATCCCTGTGTGTGTGTGTGTGTGTGTGTGTGTGTGTGTGTGTGTGTGTGTGTACACATATGCTTGTGTGCAAGGGAAGGGATGGGAATCACCGAGGAGGGAGAAAGGGAAGATGCTGTTGTCAAGGGCATCTCCGCTGGAGAGCAGTGTACCACTTCAGGCTGGTTTGGCCCATAAACTGGCTAGAGTCTGACAGAGCCCTGTTGCTTTCAGAGAGTGAGCTCCCTGTCACTGAAGGGCATCTGGCAACATTTCTGAGGAAGACACAGGCTGGATTCGACAACCAAGAAGGTTCTTCTGGGTGCTCGAATTTCATAATCATGGATGCCACAGTACAGCTCTGCAAGACCAGACAGCCAGGGTGGTACAAGTGACCTCACAGTACCCCCATGGGGCTGGAGGTGAAGACTTGGATTGCAGCTGGGCTGTACCCTCATCTCTTGAATGAACGAAAACTGGTTCACTCACTGTCATTTTGATAACAAGAGTAAGGATTTTAATAGTCAGAGTGGATGTAAAATCATTGTCCAGTCAGATGGGGTGTGATGTGGGTGTAGTGAGAATCTGGGGGAACAGAGGTCCTTACGCCTGGCTTGGGGAGTGCCTCCCACCAGTCTTCACACCTCACCTCCCACATGTCAGGCACTGTGCCAAGCACCTGCTGTGGGGTGCAGTTCTAAGGAGACGCTGCTTGCAGACAGCAAAGTGCTCCAAGAGGCAGTGTCGAAATAGTCCTGGAGGAGAGACAGAAGCCTGGGATGAGTAGATATGGTCATTTTGCCAATCTGAATGTAAGTGGAGGGGGAACAAACCTATTAGAGCTTAAATGTTTGTAGTTGTTTTTAATCCTGCAGAGATGCAATACACATACAACTTGGTTGCAGAGATAGGGCTGTGCCATTACAAGTTGGCTCCAAAATATCTTGTCTATGCCCATCTTAGGACTTGCCTGCCTTGCCCAGAAGGTGGCCTTGGAAGCAGTGTAGCTCAGCAGTGAGAGAGGGAGGGAGCATGATAGGGACCTATGGACCATCTTAGGACCAAAAATCCATGGGGTGTAGCAGCAGGTGCTAGGAGGTAAGCATAGGGGAAGTAGAGGCCCAGACTTGGAATCAGCAAAGCGACATGGCTGGTGTGGACTGACATGGCCAGGAGTCTCCCTATTACAGAAGCTGGACTTCCATATGCATCCTAGACCCATCCCACTTCCTTCTAGGGCTTTCTTTCTGCAGTCTGCTGCCAGCTCCCTTGTCTCCTCTCGCTCGCTGGATTATTCCGCTGACCAAACAAAACACTCCAGCATCTTCCACCTCTGAACATCCACCTGTCCTTCCACGTGGCCCCTGCTGTGCCCCAGGTCCCTCTCCCTCCCTCGTCAGACCCAGTGCAGTCATCCCTGCTGCTGCATGGCAGCTGCAGAGCCCTCCTCATCCCATACCCAGTGGACCCTTCTCCAGACTCACTTTCCCACTTCCTCACAGCATTCAAGACAGCTGACTGCTCTTGGATGCTGAGTTCTTTTATGATCCATTTAAAAATTCTACTCTAATTGATCATTTTTTTTTTAACCGATCATTTTAATCTCTTTTGCTTTTTCTTTTCCTCATTTTCAAAGGGTGGAATTATTATTGTTTGTGGTACTAGGGATTGAACTCAAGGCCTCTGTACAGAGCCACACCCTCAGCCCTTTTTATTTCTAGTTTCAAACAGCGTCTTGATAAGTTATGCAGGCTGAATTTGGACTCAGAATCATCCTGACTTGGCCTCCCAGAGTGCTGGGATTACTGGTGTGCACGTCTCTCCTGGCTTCAAATGGTGGAATCATTAACGGTGCTGGGCAGGGCCCTCTTGTCTATGAAACTCCTTCTCTAGTGAGAGCCTTTCTCATAGACTGGCTATAGGTATATATAAATGTAAGTGCTGACTTCTGCATCTTCCGTCTCCTCACGGAGCTCCAGGCTTGCACATGGAACAATCATCTCAAGCTCTCCAAGTAGATCTCCCATCTCAAGCAGAGCTAACTGCCTTTCCCGACAGATCTGTTCTTCTCTCAGGGCTGTTTGTTCCTTGTGCTCCTTTAAACCTAGCTGCTCAAGACAAAAACCCAGCGTGCTTTGGAGGGGCAAAAGGGAGGAAAGAGGTGGTGACTCTTCTGCTTTTGATTCCTCACTTCTCCCCTCATTGGCCAGTCTGTTGGTTTTACTTCTTCCTCCATCTGTCTCCTCCTCCAGTGGAATGATGACTGTGCTGTTGAAATGCGCCTCTGTGGCTCATAAGCCTTACCACGGCCTGAGTCTTCCTTTCTTCTCATCTCCATTGCATCTCACTGTCCATCCTGAACCCAGCCATGCCGACCCTCATTCTACTCTTCAAACCCACGGACCTCATCTCCACATTAGGGCTCTTGGACTTGCTCTTCTTTTGGCAGAAATCCTCACCCTTGGATTTTTGCTGGCTTGATTCCTTCTTATGCTATAGGTATTAGCTCCAGCCTTACCCTCTCAGGGAGCCCTTGCTGACCATCTATTGAAAATTGAGCAGCCTTTCCTCATATCAGCTGTTTTTTTCCTTTGTAGCACTTCGAATTTTAATATTACTGCTTATATATATCATTACTTGCTTTACTGTGTATCTCTGCCACTTGAGTGTAAGCTCCATGAAAACAGGAACCTAATCTTTCTTGTTCCTCATTGTATCTAAGCCCTTAGAACGATGCCAGGCATGTGGTAGTTGCTCAATAAATATGCATTGAATGCAGGTCAAATGAATATAAGCATCCTATTAGAAGGTTCCCTATATCCAGGAAGCTGTTCTAAGGTGGCGATCTTGACTACTCCCACTCTTTGATAGATGAATCTGTCTGTGCCTCTGTGCATGATGACTAGCAGGTTCTAGCCCTGATTTAGGCTTGGGTGATTTTTGCTGTCTTTTGTGATGGTCTCTGTATTCTAAAGTTTCTATAACGAACATGCATTTCTGTTGTACTGTGGAAAAATTGTTTTCCAGTCCTTCACAAGTAATCATAATAGAGAAGAAGAGAGGAAGGAAAGAAAGAAAATTGTAGAAGTAATGGATTTGCAACAGCAAAACTTAAGCAGGCTAACTACTGTGTAGGTGACCTACTGAAAGCTTGGACAGCAGAAGGAAAGGCAAGGAGGGGAGAGAAAGGCAGGTGCCGGGGAATAATACCACCACCTGCAATGTGAGACGGACCAGGGTGGGCTCGGCCTGGCCTGACAGTGCTCCACATAGGCACCCAGTGTGCCCAACCTTGGCCATCGTCAGCGTCCAGCCTGCAGTGGCTGGACTTTCTCGGAGTGTCATTTTTGGACGCTGCCTCTCGGGGTTCCTTCCTGGAGACTTACTTGTGACCGAGTGACCTTGCCTTTCAGACCGCAGCAGAGAAGTCGCCTGGAGCTTACTTCCTTCCTGAGTTCGCACTGTCTCCACAGGGAAGTTTCCTTGAAGATACGACGGGGGAGCAGTTCCTCACGTATCGCTATGATGACCAGGTAAGAACACTGTAAAAGGACTTACCTTTGGCTTTGCCATATGCCAGTGGGCAGGACACTGTGTCTTAAAAACACCTCTAAACTAACCACATTTTCCTCGGTGCAGTGCTTATGCAGTAAACCCTTGACACTCTTAAGGGATCCCAAAGCCCCTAAACAGCCCATGCCGCACACAACTTCCTACACCACGTGTAGCTTTGGTTTTGGTTGGAGTATTTGCTTGAGAATCACTTACTTGCCCTTATTTCTGTCAGAAATATCTGATGGGTTCATTCATTTTAGCAATCACCAAACTTAGCATTTTATGCTAAAATTATTCAAAAGTTCTGGTTCTGATTCAGCATCACTTCCTTGCCCTCTTGGCTTTTACTTCGGTTTCTTTCAGCTTCACCAGCTCTTTTCTTTCCAAGCCTGTTTTCCAGAAAGGAACAAAGTGTGTATGCCTGCATGTGTGTGCATGTGCGTATGTCTGTGTGTTTAAGTCATTTCATGAAGGCTAACCAGAAAATAAGGCTGGACTTGGCTGATGCCTTAGTAGCATTTAAGATTATACACGCCTTTGAGATTACTTACAACTCATTGAAATAGAGAACGTTCAGCTGTGCCAAATTCAGAGGTTTCTAGCTGAGGAGCCTGAATTCCTGAGGTGCTGCAGCAGACCGGGATGGGATTTAAGCCCACGTGGGCCCTTGATGGATCCGGCAGATCTTGGCACCTACAGGCCCAAGTGGAGACCGGGAGCTGGGCATGATTACCTTGTCATGGCCTGTGACAGTGTGAAAGGAGATGGCCCAGCAATTGAGGCCAGCTGTGCTGCCCTCAGCTGTGTAGTCCAAGACCAGCACATTCTGGTTTGATTTGGAGAAGCCCTAGTTGGGGGCAGATGACAGCACTCACAAGAGCAGCTTAGCCTGCCAACGCAGGTTGATGGGAGATGTGACTGCGGTGAAAGGGACCAACTCTGGGGCTGGCTGGAGGAGCAGATGCTGGAAAGGAGGCGGGAAGACTAGAGTCCTGCAGGACACAGCAGCTGATGCAGGGTGGAGACTGGGGAATGGGTCAGTGGAGGAGTCCCTACCCAGGATGGAGTCCTCACTCAGAAGGGAGCACTTTGTCTCACCTGTTGTCCTTATCACTGAGACACAATACCTGACACCCACCACTTAGAGGAGGAGAGTTTATCTTGGTTCATGTTTCCAGTCTACGATTGGCCAGCCCCAGGGCAGAAACAGCATGGGGGAGGGGCAGAGCAAGGGCAGAACAGAGGAGAGCTGCTCAGGTCCTACTGGCCAGAAAGCAGAGAGAGATGGGAGGAGCCTGGGAGGGAGACACACCTTTCAGGTCATGCCCGCAAGGACTATTGTCACCAGACCCTGTCTTCTACCAAATCAGTCATTGGGACCCCATGGTCCAGTTACCTTCCAAAAGCCTCACCTTGAGTGTGTGGGACCCTTGGGGGACATCTAGTATAAAGCATAACACTTGCCTTAACATGTTTTCTCTGCAGCTAGGGTTGGGTGAGGGGCAGAGCTGTGACCTAGCAGAGTACCCTATAGGCATGGGTAAGATGAGACAATTTTTTTTAAGTCAGAAAATTTCAACATCCAGTCATTTTTCCAAGTGACTTCAGAAATGACTGCGTACACAGTTACCTGGGTAGCTGTAGGATGGACACTAATTCTGTATTTGCATAATGGAGCACAGGCATCTGTGCCCGCTTGCTAATAAGGTCTAAAATATTAAGATGCTGTCTTTCTCTGCAATGGAGCTTTTTAGACTGCCTATAATTTATGGCATCTTTTAATGCAGAAATCAATCCAATAGGTTTTCAGAGGAGACCTTAAGCAAAATGAATTGAGAAGGCAAAAAAAGATAAAAGAGAGTGGAAAATATTGAGCTATGTATTTTATAATTAGAGTGGTTAATACCTTCTCTAGATTTATAGGAACATCATATTTACTATAATAACAATAGAAAAAAACTAGAGAAAGAGGAAAACAAGCATCCTCAGTTTTTTCTAACACAGATCTTAAAAGTGTGTGGTTATGCGAATTTCACTCAAGGACATGTTTCAGAAAGCCCCAGTGATGGGCACACAAATGCACTCTGCGTCTTCCCACTGTGAGCTTCCTTTACAGGAAAGGAACACAACTGAAGACAAGCCAATAAAAGCACCAGCCCCCTCTGTTAATGGCGGAGAAAACAGGCCCTTGTGCTAAGTGAAGTGTGTCTCCTGAAGGGACCTCAGGATCTAATCGGCCGGGGACTGTTCCCAGCACCCAAGCCCCAACTCCCCTCCCTGTGCCTAACATTTAGGTGGCCCTATAAGGTCAGGGAGTTTCTCAGGCACAAGGAAAAAGATAGAACTGATCAAATGTATCAAAAAAAATTTTAAAAGGCCCTTTGGTTGTGCATGAGAAACACTGAGATCAATTAAAAGCCAAATCTCTGGAGTCTACCACTTTGCACTTAAATCCAAGTTCTGCCATCTTCTTTGCTGTTTGACTTTGGAAAAGTTACTTTCCTCCCCTGCATCTCTGTCCCCTCAGGTGTGACCTGGAGATGTGGATGGCTAGCACCTCTCGTGGTAGTGCTCTGAGGTCGCAAAGGAGATAATTCACATAGGTCCCCTTGCTCAGTACTGTGTTAACATTTGATTTAGCTATTATTATTACTAATAATATTATTTGCAAACATTCCATTCTCTGAATCTCAGATATGCTTATGCTAAAGAAAAGGAGTGTATTTTCTATGCACATCAGGGGACCCTACACAGCATTTTAAATTAATTTTTATTGAGGGCTAAAATGCAGTAAAATGCATACATAGCTAAAGCATAGAACTTGATGAATTTTAAAATATTTCTACACCTACGTAACCAGTACCCAGGTTAAGAAATCAAACTCGTCCAGCACCTCGGAGGAGCCACCATTCTGTCTCCTGTCATTGTCAGAGGTTGGGTTTGTCTGTTTTTATTTTTAATTTTATATAAATGGAATCATCCAGCACGTACCCGTTTGTGTCTGGCTTCTCTCACACATCATTATGTCTGAGAGACTCAATCAAGTCCTTGGACCCAGCATAATATAGGATGTAAAGTCTAGCAGCCAGTCGTGCTCTTCGGAACAAATTGTCTAATACTGGAACATACTGCAGCAGGCCGGGGGCAGGCAGGGTTGCTCCTGCCCAAAAATTCCCAGACCGTCCCGGCGAGGCTGGCAGGGTGGCCGCAGAGGTTCTGTGCCTGGTGGGGTGGCGAAGGGGGACTGTTTTCCAGGGGTACTCTTTGTTTTACCCCAGCCGGAAGTCGGCGCAGGGCCAGCATGAGCTTCCGGGACTGCAGCCCTGCGGTGCTGTTCTGTTGCCTGGATGCTCACCTGCAGTGTCTGTCGACGCATGCGCCTGAGCTGCTGTCTGCCGCTGCAGCGGCCTTAAGCCAGACTTGACAACCTGCTTATGCAGTGAGGCTGAGAACTGGTTTCTAACACTGTTTGTGCAGACATGGGTTCACTAGGGTCTTCCTCCCGTTAAATACTCATTTGATAAAATGGGAAGCAGGTGGAAGGTGGGGAGATGTCAGCTTTCTTGGACAACCCTCGTAGGACTTTTAAAAAGTATTTTATCCTGGGCATATTTTCATGAAGACCTTCGGGTCACTCTTCAAATGGCTCCTGGATTAGGTGCCTGGAAAACTAATAACCCAGAGGCCGGTAAAGCACAGCTGAGATGTAGGCTGTGTTTAATGAGACACATAAAAGCCACACCGTGGATCATTCAGGCAGCCGAAGCAGCTTCTAGTGAAGCCAGCTGGGGAGCAGTGTGGATTAGTGCAAACAGGACTAGGCAGGCAGCTCACTTCTCCTCCCATCACCAATTAGCTTGTAATTTAGCAGGTATTTGACATCGTTAGATCTAGATTCTTTAGCTGTTTTAAAAAACAAGTGACTGTGTTTCACGATCAGTACTCCTTCCATTCCAAAACCGCCTTTTCTCAAAACTACAAATAGAGTATTCCGCATTGTAGAGTGTTAATTGGATCATGCTGATGGTCCAGGCCCTCTTGCCAGCAACACAGTGAACTGTTGCTTAGAGAATTACAGAATTTTACAACTGGTGCAGACTTTGGCCCAAGCACTCCTTTTAGAAGTCAAGAGGACAGAGGCTTTGTGCAAATGACTTACTCAGGGTCATTCAGGTGGTTATTTGAGAAACTAAGACCATTACAGTCCCAAACCTTGGCTCCCCAACTCTAGGATAATCCTGGCTGCTTCTTTCAGAAGAATTGCCTAGAAAATTATATCTTTTTCCAAAAAAATCTTGATTCCACTCTTAGGGTCTGTAGCTCTTTGGGGCCCTTAGTAGACCGCAGAGTGTGATTTAATGTTCATGGGTTTGCTTTACTGGCTCATTCTCAGCTCCTTCAGGAATGTGGAATTAGCTATGCTAATAGCATCTTATAAGCACATCACTCCTCCTCAGTTTTCAGTAGAATCACAATTTTTTCAGGGTAGGCAAAACATGTTAGCTGCACTTACAAATGTCAGCTTCCCATTGGGAAGTGTGTGTGCAGATGAAAGTGTCCCAGCACTTGAGTGGGGAGAAAGCGTTAGTTTGGGGCAACTGGCTAAGAAGGCTGTGGCTAAAAAAGTTTTTAGCCAACTAGGCTCCAGGGAGGATTCTTTAGTCATTCCTCATAGTGATTTTGGAGTCCTGGCTCACTGAGGACCTGCCCATAGGCAAATAGCTGAATATTGGCTGGTCCTATGAAGCAGTGTCTCAATTCTGCACTTTGTCCTTTGTCTCAGTGTTTGAAAAGTGCCACTGTCACTGTCTGCCTAGGTCTCTTTCTGGAAAGGAGGGTGATGCTGTCTTTGTCCATCCTTGACTTACTTCAGCTCACTGAGGACTTAAGTGTGGAGCGCATTGTGGACCCTCGTTTACACATCTGTGACAGGGTTAGTGCTTCTCAGCAAGGTGTCATTTAGTTTTAAAGTTCAGAA